GCCAGTAACAATAAAAGAAATAAAGTGGGAGGCATACAGGTAGCAACAACGATAACAAGTCACATAGAAAATATAGGTGCACAATAACATCTCAAGACAAAAGGCATAGATATATACACAACGAAAAGATATCATAATATATCGTATGTCTCTTGTTCTCACCTGCACAGAAACATACTTCGTGACATGAACATATGATAATATAAAAATAATGGCACTGCATCACCCTTAGTGCTTTTACTCTCATCCTCACGTGATAATATAATTAAAATGGCAGGGCATGACCCTTCGTGATTTACACTCTCAAATAGCACGACATCACCCTTCGTGCTTTACACTCTCAAATGGCAGGGCATTACCCTTTTGTGCTTTACACTCTCAAATGGCACAACATCACCCTTTATGCTTTACACTCTCCCTCACATGACAATATATATGAAATGGCACGGCATCACCCTTCGTGCTTTACACTCTCAAATGGCATGGTATGGCATCACCCTTCGTGCTTTACACTCTCCCTCACATGACAATGTATATGAAATGGCACGGCACCACCTTTCGCGCTTTACACTCTTTTTTACTAAGCGCATGTATATCATTAGCAATCAAGGTAAGAAGCATAAATAATATCAGGGAGGGTGTTTAAACGATAACACAATACAATAATTCATATCACAACTCCAAAGATACAACAAAAATCAATTAATTTTAAGAAAATAGTCCAAGGCTCCACACAACGTATATAAAACCTCAAAACAACAACAGAGATGAAAAAGTAACTCAGCANGATAAAGGATTTACTATGTTCCAATAATTTTTCCAATTTAATACATAAAGGTGTCTACGAATTTAAACCGATATAATCTGCACATATAAATCAAGTACGTACTCGTCACCTCGCGTACATAATTTTCAATCACACAATTTCCACATAAGACTCAATTCCTAAGGAGAATTTTCCCCACTCAAGGTTAGGAAAGATACTTACCTTTTTGAAGTTAGGCTGATATTCCAAAATCTCTTTCTTGCTTGAAGTAACCTCCGGACAGCTCAAATCTAACCAAATTAATTATATAACTTCATTAAAATTCATCAAAAATAATTCCGGATAATAAAACGTCAACTTAAAATTTTACATTAAAAAGTCAATGCGGGGTTCGACTCTCGGAACCTGAAAGAATTTTCACAAAATCCGAACACCCATTCCAATACGTTTTATAAAATTTATACAATTTCCCCCAAATTTTCATCTCACAATACTAATTAAATGATGAAAATAATGATATAATCATGTATATTAACCAAATCCTAGTTAGAATCACTTACCCCGATGAGTTACTTGAAAATCCCACGAAATCTCGGCCCAAACCGAGCTCCCAAAGTCCAAAAATAAAATATGAGATGAAACCCTCGTTCACATAGTACAAAAACTGATCCCCATTGTGCTGACTGCACATTTTATTGTGCGGTCGCACATCCCAGGTGCTGCGGTCGCACTCCAAATTGTGCGGCCGCACTTCAGTAGCCTTGCACTACTAGGTTTCAGTAAATTAAACATAACTTTATCTACAAATGTCCAAATGATCAATGGTATACCTTTCCGGAAACTAGATTCAAAGGACTACAACTTTCGATTTTGTATCATCTCCACATTCCTTGTAGATTAAAAGATATAAGCTTCCGAATGCGGATCATTGAATCTGTAAAATCACCTTTCTGCGGCTGCGAGAAGAATTCTGCGGACCGCATAATTTCAACTGCGGTCAGCACATATTCAAGTGCGGCCCGCACAATTCCTACTGCTACAGCACTTTGGGAGTTTGCGGCCGCACTTCTGCACTCTAAAATGTGTCCTCCGCACTTCAACTGTCACATAACATCGTCAGAGTGCCGAAATGCACGGACTCACTCAAAACTTACCCCGGAACTCATTCGAGCCACTTGGGAGCCCGTCTGAATGTACCAACAAGTACTGTAACACGATACGAACTTAGTCGGGCCCTCAAATCACATCAAAGCACGAATCGCACTCCAATTCAAGTCTATTAAAACTAAGAAAATTTCAACGTCTACGATCGATGCCGAAACCTATCAAATCAAGTCCGATTGACCTCAAAATTTTCACACAAGTCATAAATGATATAACGGACCTATTTCAATTTCCAGAATCACATTCCGACTTCGATATCACCAAAGTTAAGTCCCATCAAACTTCCAAACCTTCCAATTCCAACTTTCGCCATTTCAAGCGAAATCAACTGCGGACTTCCAAATAAATATCCTGACATACTCCTAAGTCCAAAATCACCATACAGAGCTATTGGAACCATCGAAATTCTATTTCGGAGTCGTTTTCTCAAAAGTCAACTCTCCAGTCAACTCTTTTCTTTTAAACTTTTAAATTTGAATTGTTCTTCCAATTTGATTCTGAATCGTCCGAAGACCAAACTCAACCACACACGCAAGTTAAAATACACACCACAAAGTTGTTTGGGACCTTAAGTCGCTAAACGAGACACTAATTCATAAAAAAACAAGTCGGGTCGTTACAATGCGCATGTATTCACATATATTCGCATTGCTGTATTCATGAATACATCTATTAAAAAGCGCCTGAAATTAGGACCGTCCAGTTGTACGTGCATGTATTCACATATATTCACGCCATGTATTCATGAATACAGCAGCAAAAAGCGCCTAAAATCAAGTAGTCCAACTGTACGCGCATGTATTCACATGTATTCATGATGCTGTATTCATGAATACAGCAGTAAAAGTACCTAAAATCAGGGCAGTCCAACTGTATGCGCATGTATTCACGCCATGTATTCATGAATACAGTAACGACAATCACTTTAAAAATAGGTATGTCCTGTTGTCTAAGATAAAGGAAAAATATAATAGCATATTTCATGCCCCAATGGTAGTATATACCATAAATACTTATTTTGCTATAAAATATAAAAGGAAGCTATAGAAAATAATATTTTAAAATAATTTTGATTTATAATAAATAGGGTGTATACCTTTTCTATAGGAGATAAAATTTCCATTATTATTAGCTAAGTAATGGAATTTAATTCTTATTAGGAAAACTAATTAAATTGTTGCTCATAGACTAAATTTTTTCTAATAAGAATTATCCTAAACTAAACTGATTATAACCATTTAATTTATGTAAAACCATTTAATTAATTTTTCTATACTAAATTTTCATAAACTAAATTGTATTATAACCATTTAGTTTATGAACAATCATTTAATTGATTGTCCTGATAAGAATATGAAAATCATAATCCATTACTTAGCTAATAATAATTCTTCGATTATAATTTTAAAGATTAAATAGTTGAAATAGTTTATATTTAATAATAAGAAAATTATAAGATTTATAATTAGAATTTCGATTAATAAAATTCATATAGTGTAAATATAACTAAATTTAAAAAGAAAGATATCAAAAAATAAAATAAAATCAAGAAATAGATTAAACTGTATATATTATTATCTTATGAAAATTTTAATTATAAAATAAAACTCATAATTCTAATTTGAAAATAAAAAGAGAAAAAAATAATTTTGTTTTACGTATAATACAAAATAATAACTATTAAAAATATTGGTAGATTTTTTAACGAAATAATAAAAGTCTTCTCTCTTTCTTTTTTTTTACTTTAAATGAATTCAAAAATCATAATTTTCTAATAAATATTAAATTATTTTAATTAAATTGAAATGTAATTATAAATATTAAAGTATTTATATCTAAATACTTAAACCAAATAATGAAAAAAAATAAAAATGAAAAGGAAATAGAAAAATAAATTATTGTTGGTGGAAGGAATCAAACATTGGACCTCAAGGCCAAAACCAGCTTCATATATTCCCTATACTGCTTTTTCTGCATCATGTGGACTTCAAGAACAAAGAAAAAGAAAGGGACATAGCGCATTAAATAGATGCATTATACATATTTTTGTCTCTCTTTTTATTTTGCCATAGTTTGGTCGCTTGAGTTTAATTAGACAATATTTGGGTTCCGGACTCCCATCAACACTAAAGTTGTGATTTTATTTCTTAAGTTGGTAGTTTATTTCTTAAGGGTTAGGTTTGCAAAAGCTGAAATTGCAAATATTTAAGGGTTGTTTACAACCCCCCCCCCCCCCCCCCCCCCTCCAATGGGGAGTGTGAAATAGTGCGCATGCATATAACAGATCAATAATGCAAGTGCCTTCCTACTTTTCGTGTCTTTTTTTTTTTTTCCGGGACTTAGTGATTTTCAATGACCAATGTTTAGGAGTTGGCTATTTTGACAAAGTGTGTGTTCTTATTGTTGATAATGCGATGTCAAGCTTTTTAGCCTTGGATAAGTCAAATGATAGGTCAAGGTCACGATTTTCTTTGGGAATTAAAGATGGGAGAAGTAGCAGACATCAAATGACTACACAAGAATTTCCAATGGCATAAGCGTATATCTTATAAGCAAGCTTTTCGAGATTCGAGAAGTTGGAAAACTAGCTGTTCTCCCGCTATGCAAATACATTTCGAGATCTATGTTTCAAAATGAGGCCATGTTGTCAGCTTGCTAATGAATTTTCTTACAGTAGAGATTTAGTGTACCATTTGTTGTGCTCCTCTACGGTCTTTTCGTAGTGAATCCTTCCCACCTCTCCCCTTCTCTGGTGCATATATTTCGAATCAAGAGAAATTATCTTTAGACCATATAGACCAAATAAAAGGGGAAGGAGAAAAAGAAAAAAATATTGGGGGAGGAAATGCTCGATCACAAGGTTCGAACAATCAGTAAGCAAAAGAAAGTGAAACAGAAAAGTTTGTTTAGAATGGTTAATACGAGGCCTAAGTTTTTTTTAAAAGGTTATAATATATGTCTATTTAAAGTCTATTCTTTTAGATTTTTGAGATGCAAAGTTGTTAATAAACCTATTATTTCTAAAAAATGAGGCCTTCCAAATTTGAGGGCCTAAGGCACAAGTCTTATTAACTACAATATTAGAGATGGCACTGACACCACGTTGAAACCTCATATGAGGATACTTTTACATATTCCAAACGAGTCCTTGTAATGCTAGGGTAAGTGCATCATAAGCTAGCCAGTGTAACAAACTCGGAAATAATAGTTTTTCTTTAAAAGAACCCTTGTCTACTTCTCAGTACTAAAGAACCATTTTTATCATGGTCTTGGACTGCAAATGCTGGAGACCACCTCTGCATCTTCGTTGTGGTTTTCAAGCAACGTCACCAGGCAACCAAGGTCGGCAGGATTGAACTGGGTTGTGAAGTTAGTTATCGTTAGTCAAAAACAAAGCAATATGCATGCCTGACACAGTTACATTTTAACAATAAAAAAAAGGAAGAAAAATATTCCAGCGGTCTTTGCATAATGCACTTATCCAACAATTTTGGCACATAGCAGGTTACACCCATTTATTTTGTTTGGTGGGTAGCTTTAATGAATGGGTGGGTTCTACGGAGACTATTAGAAATTAGCCATTGGAAGCGATGTAACAGAAGTGTCTCCATTGGGAGGTACTAGGATTTCTTTCCACATGAAGAGCATAGGTGGATGGAAGTAAGTTTCACGAAGCTGGAAAGGTGGGAGGAGCGGTAGGGGTGTGTCGATCCTAAGCACAAGATTTGATAGCCATTTTGATCATATGTCTTGTTGCACAGAAAAGTAACACTAAGACAACCACTGTCGATGTCTGTAGATTTACATAAGTTTCTAACTACTAGTACAATAACTAAAAAAAACTAAAAACTAAGAGTAGCTGTGTAGGAAATAAAAATAATAGTTGTGTAGCATGCTAGTAGATGGTTCCTATGTATAGAGAACCCTAACTAAATCCAGTAGCGAACATACCCACAATGTTGTAGAGTCAAAAAATGAACTAAAAAGAAAAAGATAAAATTTGAAGTTGATTCAGGAACATGCCGAATTATCATCTGAATGCATATTGTTTATGATGTTTCCACCTTTCAATCATTTTGTTTTGTTTTGTTTTGTTTTATTTCGTTCCTATTTTCATTGGTTAATTCATCGAAGTGTTTGGATTCAAGCACGAAAGCTTCTAAAAACACCTTAAGACCCATGTACCTTATTAGACCAGCTCTTCTCTCTTCGAACAATATTTACAACTATTTTGAGGACGGGGATTATTACTGAATGAGAGTCTTGCCTGAAACATCAATTGACTTACATATCAGATTCAACCATAAGTTAGATATGAATAAAAGTAGGATAAAAGAGGAAACTAAAACATTCCACTCACCGGAGGAGTCCAACCAGCCGGTCATAAATATCCCCGTTATTGTGGTGTTGGATAATACCATGTATAGCATCAATATGGTAAGCAAGGGCACAACATACATTTGTTAGCACCTCATCAACGAAGAAGCTCTAAAAGAGAACAGACTGCTGAAGTAACCTGACAAATGAATAGTAATCAGTAATGTAAAGACCAATAACTTCTTTCTTTCAATTTTACCAGATTAGAGGACCTCTGAGGATTTATTCCAATTTTCAGCAATATGAAATTGGCTCTCTATTTGGAGCAAGCTACAAATAGAGTCTTCAAAAGCACTTAAAATTGACACATCGAGAGATATTTACATTCAAGACCTCCAATAATATAGGAAAAATATTGAGGAAAGGCATGATATAGCTAGTGTTGCCTGCTCATTTCAAAAATAAACAAATTATTTCTTTTAAAAATTATAAATCCAATTTATTTGACGATGTTTGATAGGTCCTGAATTTAAGATGTTAAATTAGACTTATCTATTACTATTAGTTATAGTAAAAGAAGAAGTTAAGCAACGACTTAGTTCGATAGAGGAAACATTATATCAACGTTTAAGATCTGAATAGTTTAAAAGTTGTGAAAATTGCATAGAAATTGAATGGCGTCCAATATTTTATAATATTTCAAAAATAGAAAAGGTGTCACATAAATTGAGTAAATTATTTTTTTAAGGTGATGGCAGATGGTACACCCCACGGTGACGGTATTTTGAATGCCTAAGGAAAAGTAATAATTTGAATTAAATAATTGCAAGCGTAAGAACATTTCAACAGTCACTGACCAACCTGCTCAGATAGAAGATCCGGCTTGCTTTTAAAAATCAGTGACAAAGTCCTCGTGGCTTTTCTCTGCATTGAAAAATTATTGTTCGCCTCCTTTAACTCGTTCAACAAAGGAGTCAAAGCGCCATGGTTAAGAACACAATAACAATCACCGGCAATAATTTCTCCCACTACCAGCACAACTTATAGATGTAAAGAAAATACATTCAGCCCGCTAATAATTATACAACATGTGGGGACGGGGGACGGCGGGGGCTCTTCCAATTATAAAACACACCTTCTCACAAAGACTTTCATCTGGAAAGTCCAGAAGCTTTACAAGAACTTCCACCAGCCCATATTCAACCATATCAAAATATATCGGCGAGGTGAAAAGAGAAAATGAGTACGAGAATCCAAGCAGAATCATCCTATAAATGTAAAACCATAAAGATAAAGCAAGTGTGAAGCAAGAACCGCAAGACGCTAAAGAAAGTGCAGAAAGGTAATCAACAACACATCACTGTCTACCTTGAGCTGTTGCGGGCAATCTGACATTTTTATAAACTGAGCAAATCGAAGAATAACACTAAACTTCATAGCTTCACAAAGACCAAGTGTCTTATCTGTGGAAAAAAATTGGTAAGGTAAGTGATAGGCAAATTGAATAAAAAAATTAGACCGGAGCAGGCTTAGTCATACTGATAGAGAGCAGTGTTCAAAATTGTTTGGTTGATATGTCATGCAGAATTCTATGATCGAACAAAATACCAGTGACCGCTAATTCAAGACTTTCCTGTAAACCAACCATTCAAAAAAATCACATATCAGCCTATAGTTAGAAAAAAATACAACATGTCGTAGGGGTCTAAAACACACCTGATTGGAATATAGTTTTTGAAATATTGGCTCCAGCAAATGGTCAATCATAGGAGTCGAGCCACCAAAAGCACTGGTGAGAACCCAAGCAGCTTCAACCTATGAATGCAAAACTATAAGGATAAAGCAAGTGTCCGTTAATAACACATAATTAATTCTCTACCTGGAACTGCCAAGAATCTTTCTTGCTTAGAAACTCAACAAATCAAGCAACATAACACCTAACTTCTCCAACATTAAGACTCCTTCTGATATCAACCAAGTTCCAGAGTCATGAGCCTGGATCATGATTAGTCATACTCATATCAACCAATTTCCGGACTCGTGAGGTCCCCGCCAGCTGCCGATTGATATCATCCGACCAAACATCCTTGACCCATGATGTCTTCTGTAAACCAACAATTCATTATTAAATCAGTGGAACAACTAATGGATTTATATATCAGAAACAAATCAGAATCAGCTAGCAGAATTCAGCATTGCAGACAAAGCATGCAAGCGAACAGAAGACTCTCCATTATCAAATCTTACTAATCAAAAATTGATGTGCATAATATATTGATAAAACGAGACCCAACCAGACGCTTCGGAGTTTCTCGCTTCGTCTTTCGAATCTTTCGGATCTTAACAGATACAATAGCACTTCTTAGTTTATCAAGAGGCATCTTCGTAAAAACCCTAGTTAGGGCAATCGCTGCAGATAGTAGTTATATACTACTACTTTACCTTCTTTTTTTTATTTATATACCCGTAGAATATTAAATATAATTTTTCATAAGAAAATATTACTCTTAAAATATGATAGGCAAAAAGGAGCATGCAAATACTATTATTTATGAACATGTAAATGCATCGTCACTATATATATGGAACGGGGAATAATAATATTGGGAAATCCATCACAAAGCCTTGTAGCAACCACATGGAGTCTCTATTTTCATTTACTATTTTAACTACAATTTACTATTTTCATAGTGGTCTCTTGGATGGTGTCTGAGTATAGTAGTATGAGCCCATGGTAAGTCACCCCACTCTATCATAATGTACTTTGATATTGCTTTTTCATAAGAATCGTCTTCTAATTCATTCGACTGCTCAATTGCTTTTTGAATCATCTATAAAAGAAAGCGAGAACCTTAATACTACCTCCGTTTCAGTTTATGTGAACTTATTTCCTTTTTGGTCCATTCCAAAAGGAATGACCCTTTTCTAAATTAAAAAATAATTTTGCTTAAACTTATAATTCTACCCTTAATGAGAAGCTTTTATAACCACACAAATATTCTAGGCCCCTTTTTGAATTGTTTAGGACCACAAATTTCAAAAGTCTTTATTTTTTCTTAAATTTCGTGCCCAATCAAACATGTTCACATAAATTGGTACGGAGAGAGTAGTAGTTGTTAAGTCTTTTATGAAATTTTTTAAGACACTTGCAAGGAAGAAACTTTATGTTATAGTTCCATTGTATAAGTACAAATTATTAGGAAAAAATGATTATCCTACATTCATATTTACATGCTCATAGTAGTCCTAATAAAATTTGAATTTTTAGAAAAGCTATGATGTAACGATCCGGCCAGTCTTGTTCCCCCATTTACTACTCGTTTTATACTTTATAGCTATTATGTGACTTATCGGGGTAGTCGATTCGGGTCCGGAGAGATTTCGGAACGATTTGAGACACTTAGTCTCAGGGTTAAAAACTTAAGTTAAAAAGGTTGACCGGTTATTAACTTATATGTAAATGACCCCGGAATAGAATTTTAATGATTTCAATAGCTCCGTATGGTGATTTTGGACTTAGGAGAATGTTCAAAAAATTATTTGGAAGTCTGTAGTTAAATTAGGTTTGGAATGGCTAAAATAGAAATTTAAGCTTGGAAGTTTGACCGGGGAGTTGACTTTTTGATATCGGGGTCGGAATCCGATTTTGAAAATTTGAATAGGTCTGTTATATAATTTATTGCTAGTGTGTAAAATTTGAGGTCAATCGGACTTGATTTGATAGGTTTCAGCATCGAATGTAGAAGTTGGAATTTGTTAGTTTCATTAGGCTTGAATTATGGTATGATTCATATTTGTAGCATTGTTTGATGTGATTTGAGGCTTTGACTAAGTTCATATGATATTTTAGGACTTGTTGGTGTATTTGGTCGAGGTCCTGAGGGCCTCGGATGAGTTCCAGATGGTTAACAGATCAATTTTAAACTTAGTGTTTTTGCTGAATGTTTCTGGTGAGTCTAATCTGGTTTTCTTATGCGCGATCGCGTAGGCTTAATTGGGCAGGGGAGGACTTTGCTCTACTTGTTCGCGTGCAGGAGTCCGCGATCGCGTAGCTTAGGGAAACTGTGCATCGCGAACGCGTGGGGTAGATCGCGTTCGCGAAGAGGAAAGGAAGAGGAAGCTGTGCCACGCACGTAATACTTCGCGATCGCGTGAATAAGTCCGCGATCGCTTAGGCTTGCGGAGACTATGCTTCTAGATAGCGTGGAATTTTCCGCGATGACGTAGGGTTATTTTTGGGTAGTAAAAATTTGTGTTTCGCGATTGCGTGAGTTGGTCCGCGATCGCATAGAAGTTTCACTAGGCAGAATGTTTAAGTTCTGAAATCCCATTTTCCATTTTTACCGATGTGGAGCTCGGGAAGAGGCTATTTTCGGGAGATTTTCAAGAAAAATAATGGGGTAAGTGTTCTTAACTCAATTTTGGTCAAATTACCCAAATCTGTGGTTATTTTTAGCATTTAATCGGTGATTTAAGTTGGAAAACTTTGAAAACCCTCTTGGTGAAATTTGAAGATTTGAGGGTCGAGTTGATGTAGAAATTTAGTAAAATTTATATTGTTGGACTCGTTGTTTAATGAACATTCATATTTTATAACTTTTGTCGGGTTCCGAGACGTGGGCCCCACAGGTGATTTTTGAGTTAAATTTCGGATTTTTGTTGAAAAATCTATATTTTCATATAGAATTAATTCCTATAATTTGTATTGACTGAATCGAATTAATTGTGATTAGATTCGAGCCGATCGGAGTCGGAAATCAAGGAAAATGCATTCTTATTGACTGATTGAGTTTAGCTTGAGGTAAGTGACTTGTCTAACCTTGTGTGGGGGAAATTTCTCTTAGGATTGGAATTGATATGATAATTATGATGTGTTGAAAGTTGTGTACGCGAGGTGACGAGTGTGTACACGGGCTAAATGTGGAAGATTATGTCTTTAAATTGTGTAGATCACTGTTGCATATTAATTAAATTATTTTATTCTGTTATATTCATCATCATTGATCTATTTTTATATTTTAAATTTGCCTTACCTTTTTCTACTAATTGTCTTACCTGTTTAGTTGAAGCTTTGTTTCTTTTATTCTGTGCTCATTATTTGACGGTTGAATTTCTTAATTGAATTATTATTAATATAAAATATTTGACATTAAAAATTTGGTATTGAGGCAAGGTGTTAGATTTGTGAAATATAGTTTTTATTCAGTTATTCACTCCCGAATATTTTGTGAGATTTTGTATTCATAGTGATTGAGTCGTGAGCTCCTTATTGTGAAAAATAATTTTGTTATTGATTTATTTTGGCAAGTTGAAATATTTGGGCACTTGAGGTGCAAATTGTGATATTTATGCGCATGCGGTGGTATAAGGTCTGGGTGTTGAAATGCATGCGGAGAGATAAGGGTGGCTTGATACGCGTGGCTAGTAGGGGAACTACTAGAAGTCATGCGGTGTGATAAGGGTGGCTAAAACGCGGGATGTTACTTCGGAAAAAAAATAATTTCTTTAAAATTAAATGTGAAGACTCCCGTGGTGATATAAAGAAATGAGATATTGTGAATTTATTTATGATTTGGGACTACGAGGCGGTACATTAAGAGTACCCTTGTTGATATTTCTTTATTGCTGCATTTGCCTTTGGTTATTTTTGTGTTTTCCTTAAAGTTGTAAATTTTTGTTTTCCTTCCGCGAGGTATTATTTGCCTTTATTCTATATAATTAAATTGTGACATACCCTCTTACATGGTTCTTTTCCATTGTCATTATTATTAGTATATTGTTAAACTTTTCAACCTATCTTTTATTATTCTAGTAGGGCCTGACCTGCCTCGTCACTACTCTACCGAGGTTAGGCTTGGAACTTACTGGGTACTGCTGTGGTGTACTCATACTACGCTTCTTCATATTTTTTTGTGCAGATCCATGTACTTCCTATCTGACCAGGCATCAGTGAACTAGCCGTACGCGGAGACTTCAAGATATATCTGCCAGCGTCTGCAGATCTCGGAGTCCCCTTCTATCCTTATTATGTTGCTTTCCTTATTCTCTTTAGACTCTGATGTATAGAGACACTTAATATAATTCTTAGAAGCTTGTGACTTATTTCTACCGGATTTTGGGAGTTGTAATTATTTGAATTGCAATTTCATTTATTTCAGATTTCTATTATGTTATTCCACATTAATAGGCTTACCTAGTCTTAGAGGCTAGGTGTCATAACGACATCCTACGGAGGGAATTTGGGGTCGTGACATATGCAGTACTCCCTTTGAACTAAGTTGCCTAAAATTAACTTATATCCTCTTTACTTACTAGTATCAATATCTCTACCAAAATCAACTTTATCTCCTCTTTAATACTTTTCACGGCATGCAGATATTTTATCTTAATTCTCATGCTGCTTTTTTCTTGTAGGATGTTCAGCCAATTCAATAGAAGTTACTCATTAAGAGATGAACATCAAACATCAAATTATAGTTGTTAACAACTAACTGCACTTCTTCCATAATATGCATATTATAGTTAAG